TACTTGAGGTCCTCCCCTTAAAGCTCTTGAGAATGAAATGTTATATGAAACAGTGAGTGAAATAAACCATTTATCCTCTTCCTTCCAAAAAGAATAACTTACTACAGTATAAATGCCACATCTTCATGAATCTATAAGTAATACCAAAAAAGACAGACTTCAAAAGTTGTTCTTGCTTTAAAAACAAGTAAACAAACAAACAACAAAAGATCAACACATCAATTTACTAGAGTGAGACAGGCACCCATGGTTAGGAGGTTTAGGTATGATAAAAACTCCTAAAACAATAGATGAGAGAGCAATGACACCTATTAAAACAGCCACTGAACAGTATTCCAGAGTCTGTGCTAAGAGAGCTCTTCCACACACACTGAACACTGGCAGAAAACTCTCATTTTCTAGGACAGATAGATAGATGTGACATTATCAACTACTGTCCGGATGTGAAATTCATCTTTTAAAATATGTATGATGGGACTGAAGAGATGGCTCAGTATTAAAGAACACTTGTTGCTCAGACAGGGGTGCAGTCCCGAGCATCCACCTGGAAGCTCACAAATCCCTGCTATTTTATTTCCAGAGTATTCAAAGTCATCTGCTGGCCTTTGCATGTACAGACATGTATATCATGCACATGTATATGTGCAGAGAAAACATTAATATTTATTAAAAATTAATCAAGCTTAAAATGGATATGTATGTAATAGTTCAAAATGGACTACTACTGTAAAAGTATTTCCAACATGGAGTCATTTACCTTGGATATCAGCAGTCTAAGGGAGAATATAGGAAACAGAATTGGAAAGAAACATCTCTTTGCTTGGAGACAGCCTTACAAATGTTCACTGTGGAAAAAGAAAATCAAGCCACCTTGCTTGCCACAATCATAGGGTGTAAAGGTTATCATGAGGCCATACATAAACAGTGAGATCACTCTGCTTACCTTGCTTAAAGTAGATATGCCAGTCTTTTTGTAAAGAAAAAAATTTAACTTTTTTTCAGATTTATGCATGACGTATGTAAGTGTCACACACACGGACAGGACTTGAACTCGAGACCTCAGGCAGAGCAGTCGGAGCTCTTACCTCCCAGCCACCTGTACGGCTGTTGTGATATGCCAGTCTTTTATTCTGTTTTTTTTTTTTTTTTCTTTTCAAGACAGGGTTTCTATGTAGCTTTGGAGTCTCTTCTGGAACTAGCTCTTGTAGACCAGGGTGGCCTCGAACTCCCAGAGATCTGCCTACCTCTGCCTCCCGAGTTCTGTGATTAAAGATGTGCACCACCATCACCAGGTCTTTTATTCTGTTTTTAGAAGTAGTTAATATGTCTCTTTTTTCCCCACACCCAGACAATTATCAAATTCAATATAATTTAAAAAATAGAAATATTTAAATAATTAAAAAATTGGAAATAGAAATATTTAAAAATTAGAAATAGAATATTTGATATGAAGTGCAGGAATTTTGGGCAGTAATTAATACTCTACAACTCTGAAGGTTGTTGGATAGGATACTGAATTTTGACAAATAGTAAAGGCTCTCTCACAAGTAGTATCAGAAGAATGAGCAATAGCTGGTACTCAAGATTTCAGAGTCTGAACATGAGGTTGGGTGAGAGGAAGAAGAGCATTCTGATGAGAGAAGACAGTGGTTGGTGCAAACAGTTCACTGGAGGTTTAAAATGGGGGAGGTTATTTATTCCGTAAGAAGCCTGGATGTGTATATAACCTTGTGGTAACTTGACAGGACTTGAAATTCCATAGGAGAACTTGGTGTATCTTCAAAGGTGTTTATAAATCAATTTAGTTCAGAAAAGAAGATATGCCCTTTCAGGGCGAGGGTAGAACCTTCATGTGCATGGGATGCCAAGAGAAATAGGAAGGGTTAAAACAAGCGCAAGCAGAGTACCAGAATTTAAGATTTCTTGCTTTCTGACTGGGAATTTGATATGACCAGAATTTTCTTCCATCTTTTATCTCTTCTCATGGTGATTGTACCTTCTTAACTGTTAGAAAAATTTTTTTTCCATCTTAAGTTATTCTTTTAGGTATTTGGCATAATATTAATAAAAGTAACAAATATGGTAACTAGTAGCAGTAGAGAAGCACCATTTTGGGACATGTTAAAAAGCTATTAAATGAAGCTGTTCTGTCTGAAAAAAAAAAGAAAAGAATTTCTCTAGGAAGGTTATAGCTACAAATGGTGGTTCTGAAATATCTATCTAAGAGAGATTTCCTGATTAAGGAAGTGGTGAATTCAGAAACTGAGACAATCATTTTAAACTGCTCTCTCTTAAACTCTTAGATTTTATTTACATTATACTTATCTTGACTAGAAGTAACTAAGAGTTTCTGGGCTTCAGAGATCAAGTCAAGTTGGGTGCAGAGGTCAGCAGCTCCTACTTTGAGCGTTGCCTTCCAGATGCTGTCATTACTACCAGAACTGGAGAGTGGCTGTTACCCAGTGCACATGCTGGGGACAGCAAGGCCCTCATGGGCTTTAATAACTTTTCTGAACATGAGGCCCCTCAAGATTGAATCTTCATTGAAATTATCTGTAGTTAACAGACTTGTGCCATGTGCATTGGATTATTTGTAAGTTTTGTAGTATTCATGATCTTAAATGGAATTCGGTTGTTATCTCTGCAACAGGGGATTAATGCAGATTTCCTAGATTTTCTTATACTCAATCTCATGATGCTATCTCTACTGAAATCAATAGCAATGCACATAATAAATTCACTTTTTTAAACATTCTGTTGCTACCAAGCACTCTGCTAGACCTTTACAAAAACCTTTAATTCTTTGAAAGATGACATGCACACAGTGGTGTTCGTTTCATTTTCAATATGGACAAAACTTCTGGTGGCCGCACATTCCTCTGCCTTGATCGTAGGCAGTGCTCTTGATCCCTGAGATGATATCAGACCATTCTCAGACTGTGCCCTCCCAAAGAGTTCATGTCATTATTAAAACCTCCAATACAGGCAAAAGTACAAAATCACTGATTTCTGTCAGAGTTCAGAAATCCTTCTGTGGAGTAAAATATTGAAAATGCTCAATATCACACTTAGCTTCAGCCTACAGTGATTTCATGCTGTGACTTACAGTGGTAGTTTGAATGTAATTGAACCTCATAAGCTTCTAGGAAGTGCCACTATGAGGAGGTGTGTAGTAGAAGGAGGAGCGAGCTGTGCCCCACTGCCAGGCTAGCTTACACCCAAAATAACCACACAGAAATTTATTAATTAAATTATTGCTTGGCCTATAACCTCTAACCTCTTATTGGCTAACTCTCACATCTTGATTTAACCCATTTCTAATAATATGTATGTCACCATGAGGTCGTGGCTTACCAGGGAAAATTCAGTATGTCTGACTTGCCAGCTTCAAGGTGGCTCTGCTGCTGCTGCTTTCTTCCTTCCAGAGTACAGTTCTGTCTTCTCCATATATCTAAGTTTTGCCCTATCATGCCAAGCAGCTTTCTTTATTGATTAACCAATGGAAGCAACACAAATACAGAAGGATCTCCTACACCAGAGGTGTGCCTTTGTTGAAGTCCATATTGCCTCATGAAGGAAATGTGTCACTGTGGGGGTGGCTCTCCAGTCTCACATACACTCAAGTCATGCTCAATGCTCAGTTCACTTCCTGGTGCATGTGGCTCAAGACATAGAACTCTCAGCTCCTTCTTCAGCACCGTGACTGCCTGTATAGTTCCATGTTTCCCACCATGGTGATAATGGACTAAACCTCTGAAACAATAAGCCACTCAAATGTTTTCCTTTATAAAATTTGCTGTAGTCGTGGTGTCTCTTTACAGCAATTGAAACCCTAAGTAAGACATTTATAGTGAGCAAACTCAAGAGAATAAGAAACACATTTATTTCAGCTACATAAAGAGTTCATCAGAAGTACACTAACTGAACACTCCAGTAAATTTACTGGTCTTCATCCCTGGCACCCGTCCTTTACTACATTCTATGCCAGAAATTTTAGAAATGGACAGGAGTTAATGAATCAGAACCTGTCCTCTGCCTTCTTGAGTATTTTACTTGAAAATACATCACTATGTAGGCAAATAGAAGTTAGCCTAAGCAGAAAGAGGGCCAATTTCCTCCTGGAATTGCCTCAGAGCCTCTGTAAGTAACCATACTGTACTGGTTCTGCCTATCTTCATTCTCCAGAAAACAAGTCATACCAACCACACCTTCCCACTTGGAGCTGAAAGGCAATGTCAGTACATTCTGAAACAGGGTTTAAAGAAGGTCTCCTTCTGAAAATGGAGCCCTCAGGTCTACCCTATTACATTCCAATGAAAGTAGGTTTGTGAACTTTAAATAAATAGTTACCATAGACTCAGATCAGAAATATTATATCAAAGTGTTTTTGTGGTGTGTACATGTGTGTAACTTGCAAGGATGAAGTGTTACTAAAATTTTGGAATGAAGACTTCATTTGCTTTCCACGGCTGCCACACTGCCTGAAAGCATAAAAGTAAAGCTGGTATATTTTTTCCTCTTTTTTATTGTTTATATTGCACTATACTCCATTCCTCTCCCTTCCTCCTGTCTCCCCTTCTACCCTCTCCTGTGTGATGCCCACACCCAATTTACTCAGTTTCATGTCTTTAATCCCAGGACTAGGGAGGTATAGGCATGTGGATCTCTGTAAATTCGAGGGCAGCCTGGTCTACAAAGTAAGTTCCAGGACAGCCAAGGCTACATAGAGAAAAACTGCCTTGAAAAAACTACCACAAAACAAAATAGGTGGTGGTAGCACACGCCTTTAACCCCAGCACTCAGGAAGCAGAGCTAGGCAGATCTCTGTGATTTCAAGGCCAATCTGGTCTACAAAGTCAGTTGGTCTAGCTTAAGGATTGTAATGGAACCCTCAATTAAAAAAAGAGAGAATTTGGAAGTCTAACAATTTGACAATCTCTCACGGCCTTCTCTGATATTGCTTCATCTTGAATGGAGTGATAATGCAAGACAGAAGAAAATACATTAAAAAAAAGAAATTTATTCAAAACAGAGAACCAATGATAACATGGGTCTGTGAGAGGATTTTTTCCATCTCAGAAGAACTCATGCTCCGGAAGCAGCTCTTTGAAATGACTGTAGTACATCAGATCACATCTTCATTCTGCAGAAGAAGCAAAGGGTTATAGGCAACTATCAGATAATATGATCTAAAGGCTTCCTTATAGAAAGGCAAATTCACAATAGGTAGACCTCAGAAAGTGTCTATAGATTGACACTATGTAATGATACTATTATACACACACACACATATACACACACTCATAAGTGCAAACAGTTAACTAGCAAATAATATAACTGTCACAATATTATTTGCATAGCCAATTTATTCTGTGAAAATTTCATCATCAATACATATTCTGAAATGTACATAACATAGTGTTTGGAAAGATGGACAAAGTTTTCCACCGTTTCTGTAAAGGACTTAATCTTCTGTTTCAGAACCCTTCATAGACATCACTGCTAGCTGGTTGCTGTTATATAGCAGACATGACCAGGACACTGAGCCCTTCATTTTCTTAGATACATTTACTGAACATAAGTACATCCCAGATTCTTTTCCTATGCACACTGTAGTCAGCTTTGCCTATGCTTATTTTCTCTTTTCAGATATTATACTATTCAGAGAGAGAGGGACAGAGAGAGGACAGAGATGGGGAGAGAGAGTCAGGAAGAGAGGGAGACACACGAGAGAGAGAGAGAGAGAGAGAGAGAGAGAGAGAGAGAGAGAGAGAGAGAGAGATCTGTACTATAAGTTCTGTTACTCTAGAGAACCCTGACCTAAATAGAAGGAAAGGTTCTGGCAGCAAAGAGGTTCTACCAGTGAGTGTGGTCGAAGGATCAGATCAGGAAAGAAGGGAATATATAAAGGGTTAACCTCAATGAACATGGAAGTAAAAAGCTATATGGAAACCTATGATCTTTCAGCCTAAGTAACAATTCTAAAAAGGGCAAGTAGAAAACCTATGACATGAAAGGATGGGTTTGGGCATAGGAATATTGCAGGTTAACAGTTCCAGTGTGTATCAGGGAGCTGAGATGGTAGAAAGGAGAAAGTAAGTGACAGATTCACCAAAACTAGGGAGGTATAATGGAGCCTTATAAAATCCCATTAATTTGTAAGCTAATTAAACATATATTTTTAAATGAGCTTGAACAGTTATATCCTCTGTGGTTGGTCAGTGATGCTCCCAGAAGTCATCATTATTATATGGAAATTTCAGTGCCAAAAATGGCTTACTGTCCTACTACCTGTTGATTAGCGAAGCCCCAGAGGCATCCAAAACAACAAAAACTATTGCTAATACTCTTGGATGCTATTTCATCTAGATCGTAAGACCTTGTTGCTGATAACACCACACACTTTGGCAGTAAGAAATAGAGAACTGAATCTTAACCTTATAGAAAACCCCTTGCTTTCCAGATTTCCTAGTACTGTAAGATGTTATGCATGCTAATGGGGAGGAAAAGGTATCAATAGACCCAGGTCGCACTGGACCTTGTGTATTTCAATATTGACTTATCCGGCAAGATGTGTCCCCTGGTGAAGTGATGACAGTGGCAGGACTGGTGGGGGTAACCATCCCTTCTTAATTGAGGTTAACAAGGAGGCCACAGGAGGTATTTTATGCCTGATACTGTAACCCCCGTCAAAGTGCAGTGAGATCATAGGCCCTGGCCAGCAGGATAGATTTAATGCTGTTTTATTAAATGATCATGATCTCAAATTTTCTTCTAAGTATTTACATTTACATCCACCAATTATGAGAGGATATCAACTCTGGTTTAAGAAGCTTACCCCTTCCCTACCCCCACAGTGGGTTGTGGTTAACTCAAGAATGTGGAAGTGTTGTTTAAAGTGTTGAGAATACGTGACTGTGATTCTTTAGTAATAGATGGGGCATGCATACCTCCCCACACAAATTACGGGCACTCTAAAACTAAGGAAAATTACAGAAGTGATGTGGGTATAATGGAAGAGCTGGAGTAAGGGATAAAGGCTCTTTGCTGCAAACACAAACTCACAGAAGCTTTGGTTACTCACAGAAGTTGAAGCCATTTAAAATTCTTAGCATGATTGAAGATAACTTCTCAGAGAAAATTATATGTAGGAGACACCAATGCAGAGATGCTGTCTTACAGTTGGCAGGATGGAAGCAAAGTACAGTACAGACAAGAGTCATGGGATCCAGGCACATGGAATCCATGGGAATATAGGCTAGTAAAGAGGAAACAATATAATAAAAATTATCATTATAATAATAAAAGCAGTGTTTTGCTTGTTTAACTGGACAAAATAAAACTTAATCCCAGCACTTGGGAGGCAGAGGCAGGCAGATCGCTGTGAGTTTGAGGTCAGCCTGGTCTACAAGAGCTAGCGCCTGGACAGGTGAAACCCTGTCTCAAACAATCAAAAATCAAAACAAAACAAAAAACTGAAAAAAGACTTTGTTTATCTAATAGTTCAAAAAAGTGAATGAAATTTCAGAGACAAGTAAATCTTCTGGTAGGAAGTGGAAAGTTAGAAATGATTTGGCAGAAAAGAATGAGTTATATCAGCACGTAGATCAGGTTTGGAAAATGCTAAAACAAAACCATGGGAAGCTACAAATAGAGGGGCATCTCTGTGTCACTTGGAGACAAATGTATAGAACAACATGGAGCTAAAGTCTATAGAAACTAACTAGATAAAACACCAAATTCAGTTCCGGTGAACGTTAGGAAGGACTTAAGTCCCGAGTCACAGTTCACCATAGGGGTGTCATAGGAGGGAAATGGGGAGCAGTGTTCGCTACTAGACACCACTATAGAAAAACAATGTTTCTAGTGGCGGGAATCTCTCAGCTATTTCTCTAACATTGTGGCCAGGGGTGATTACACATGAGGACCATGACTAACGCAATTTAAGTTCCACATTAAATTACAGATTTAATGGTATTCTATCAATGCTAAAAATGTATGGGGTTTGGGTATATGCTGATCCAGCTGTCCCTAAATTCATGGTGAACCCCAGTAGTATCAGAGACAATTAACATCATTTGATAAAAATCAGTATAAATAAAAACAAGTTAAATGGATTAAGCATAGTTTAGAAGTGGGGGTTTTCCTCCTAGTGTGCTAAGTACTACTTTCTTCTTGGAGGTAGAAATTGTTTGCCCAGCACCAAAGATGCTTTAAACAAAGACACCAGCTATGGTGGCAATAGAATGCCAAGGAAGTGGACATAGGAGCATTGCAAAGAAGGAGCACACAGGTACATCAAAGAAAGCAAGGCACCACAAGTGCTAGACAAAGGTATAGCCCATAACGGGGGCACACAGGAATAGCCAAAACAGAAGGGGGAGGGCCTTAGTCCAGAGGTGGTGGAAACAATCCAAATGAAATGAATATAAGTATAAACCCAAATTGGTAGACACCAGTGTAGCTCAAAGTGAGAAGGCACTATTCCATCTTGGTCAAAGGATAAATAAAGCAGTTAAACTAGCCATATCCAGCTTATGAACAGTAAAGAGATGCACAAACATCTGATGAGAACATCCCAGGGAAAAGAAGTGAGACAACTCAGGGATAAAGATTTTGGATTAAAAATAGCAACTAAATACGTTAGTCTTCCCCATTCATGTAACTGTACCCAATGTTCTTCTTGGGTAAGAATATTCTTCTTGATAAAAAAAAGTTCAATAAAAGTGAGAAGATTTTTTTCATACTGCTTAATCCTTCCTAACATTTATTTTTCAGCATTTACTTAGCTTGCCATGAACAACTGTCACTTATTTGAAACAGATCTCATATCCCAGAGATTCATAACTACTAGAAAAGCTCCAATGATTGTTTCTGAGGCAAAATGGCCTAATGCTTATTCTTAGACAAACAAGTCAATCATCCCTCGACAGTGCAGGAAGTGCAGAGGAGACAGATAGGATGAGATAGCAAGAAGGGGTGGAGTAGTATGCAACATTTTCCTCCCAATCAAAACATCCATCTTTTACAAAACTCCTTAGAACTCAGAAAGCCCTAAATTGACACTTGTTAAAACTCAGAACATTTTAAAACAGGACTCCTTAATGTTCAAGAAACAAACAACTCAGAAATCTCACTAGCTTTCTGACCAGGTGCAATAGGCACTCCCATATTCAAGCTTGTAGAAGCAGTGAGATCAGCTGAGGAAAAGATAAAATCAAGATGCCTGTCCAGACTAGCAGAGGTGCTAGCAGAGATGTTCTGTGATCTATCAAGCTGTGTATAAAATATGCAGAGTTCAAAATGGAGTGGGCATTCAGTGATGCAACAGCCTCTGAGCTATTCCTCTTCATGTAAGAAACTTACCGAAAGTCCTATAAATGACCCCAATGACTCATGGTATCAGGAAGGTGGGATTGGGTGTTCTTTTACTTTTTCTTTTAATCATCATTTCTCCATGTTGGGTGAGACAATACTTGTTCATCTTTCCCCAGGAAGAATGTTAGTCAACACAATAGTATCTCTCCAGCAGTGTCATCCACAATAAACATGATGTTCCTCTAATGCCTTGACTATTTCACACCCGATGCCCTCCTTGATACATGTCCACTGTCCTGCCATTGCTATTATCATTGTCAATGCAACTGAGGCTTCATTTCTTTGAATGGCTTTTGTTTTTCTCCAAAAGAAATCTTAGCTTGCCATAGTATGACAAACCTCAACTGCTTTCCACAAACCCTTCAGTCCTTCAATATAAGTTCTGTAAATGACACTTATAATATCAAGATGAGTTCCAAATTTGAGATATAGCCTGGCACCTGTGACCACAGTTGTCTGAACTTCGGTTTGATCCTAAAGAACTCTTTTTCTATTATCTCAAAGGAATCCCAGAAGGGTTCATTCAGTGGTGCTGACTGGAACCAATCAAAGGTTGTTGTTTTTGTTGTTGTGGGTTTTTTTTATCTGAATCCTAAACAGTGGTTAAAAATTCTTGATCATAATATCATCACATTCTTCCATGAATGGCTGGTGCCTAGTTACTAATAATTCCCTTGTTCCTCCCTGAAACCCCAGGAACTATGCCTTCAGAATTTTCATTTCTCTTGATTCTCCTTTTCCAAATACCCACTATAATGGGTTATTAAGTTTTGCCCATCTACCTAATGGCTTTCTCAGGCAAAAGATCCAAAGTCTCCATATTACTTCCCTCACATTCTTAAGGTGATCACAAGAACCTTACCTTCAATATCACTTAATATCTGTCCCAGTTTTATTCCTTCTGATAAAAAAAAACTTTTCAGAAATCTATAGAGTAGAAAATGGATTTATTTAGCATACACTTCAGTTTTCAGTTCTTTACTGAAGAAATGTCAAGAACAGAGAAAAAGCACACTTTCGTGCCTGCTTGTAGTCAGGTACTGTTCTCTCTCTTATACTGTTCTTCAACTGTCTATGGAATGGTACCACCCACAGGGCACTGCATCAGCCTCTATCAACGAACAGATTTCACACTGCTCTATAGCCTACTGGATACTACATAATATTCTTTCAGGTTATCAAGATTGAATCTAATTGAGAGTCAAGATTAACCAACACATAAGATAATTAAAAGGTTAACATTAAGAAAAAAAGTTAAATATAGTGGGAGTTTAGTTCTTACTCTAGGAGAGTTGGAGAACTCCTGCCAGGTAGACGTCTTCATTACAAATGTAAGTGAGTAGAATTTGGCTTGCCTGGGGACCTTTCCTGATGACAGAATCACACAGGTCCCGTGCTTTGTCCATAACAGTGTCATTTACGAGTTTTATTCTCTCCATCTCTTCCTGGTTCAGAACTTTCTTCTCCAAAAGTTCATCCAGCAAGCCATTTATTGTCCCTTCACCCACTGAATTGATGAACTGCTTCCTCTTTGCTCTGAGGATGTTGTCTGTTTAAGGCACAAACATTTCTCCAGTCAGAAAAACAACCACATGTTCCTTTCCTGTTTTAAAGAGGGCTTGGCCTTTTCAGAATTAAAAAGTAAAATGTCCCTTTCACATACATCTCTTACCCGTTTCTTTTTTGCTATCTCTGGCCTCTATTTTCCCTCAACATTACACAAGAGAGAGGGGGACACAAGTAACAAGCTACTGTCTTTTGTTAGAACTCAAAAAGCATAAACCTCATCCTGGTTCCACATGTTATCAAATCAGATTAATAAAACAAAGAAAAGGTGACACAACATACTCCTTTGCAGCCTGTATCTCAGTCACTCATCTGGTTTTGTCGGTCAGACTAGATCCGTGTAATAGTCAAGAATGTAATGTGACTGCAGAAAACAAGCACAACAGCACTTCCTTTCTGGCTCTGGTCTTTACTCTCTGTGACTTTAAGAATCTTCTGTGCAGATTTCTTCCACACAGTCTTCCCCTTCCCAAGATTCAGCTCACTTAAAAATCCGCAGAAACTAATGACAGCTTCCAGAAAAACCACCCCTTTTCTAAATGACTTATTCACAACTTTTCCCCTTTACAAACAGGGACAACTCACCAGCCATGGCGTTTCTCTCCTAGCATGTGCAGCTACTGAAACTGAAAGTTCCTTTCCACCAGGGCGTGTATGCAGATTGCGAAATAACCACCCTTCCTGTGTTGCTCCTGCTTCTTTCCCTCATTAATTTACGCTTCTGGAGCTCAGACTTGACAAAGAGTAAACCTGGGAAATGATCTTTGCACAACACTTGGAATGACTCCTGGCAGGAAGGGAGAATGTCCTAGGCTTTAACAAAACAATGAGCTGTGACAAAGCAACAAGTGGGGGAGGGAGGTTAGAAAGGGAAGATCTGAGGCATCCACAGGGGATGAGAACAGAACAGGGGTGAAGGGAAGGCTCCCACAGGTGTTTCTGCTGCAGCTCAGTATGAGACTGGGAGACTGGAGCTGGAAAACCCAGGGAAGACAAGACCTGCAGGCAGCTTATCTAAGAGGCTCAAGAGCCCTGAGGATTAACAGGGGTGCCTGCTGGAGTTGGGGCTGGAATGAAGCCAGGAGTGGAGGAAGGGAGGTTGGAAGGGGAAGGTCTGTGGGGTCCATGGGAAATGTGGGAAGGGAAGTGGTACAGAGAAAGGAAGCTGCAACTGGAGTCCTCTTGCAGAGACAGGTGTGAGAGTGTGGGAGCCAACCATGATAAACTAAGCATTGGCGGGTCACATATAGGAATTTTCTTTACTTCCAGCCATTATCACCTGCCAGAGTAGGACTCAGCCTTCAATATGGAGACCTGAGTCTCATTAGTTTACCCTGAAGCAAAACCTGACTGCAGGAAGAACCACAAATGGAGATTGCCTGAGCAACACCCAAAAACAGACCAACCAACAGAAATGCCTAGCATTCCAACCACCATAGGACTGCCTGCCAGCACACAATTACCAGGACACTGCTAGACAAATGTCAGCCAGCCAGGAGTCCTGAACCTCAGAGATCCCTCATCCCCACCTTTACTACTATAAAAAGCCAATTCTAACTGAGCTCAGGGCTGTCTGTTTATTCCAATACATTGGACATGCAGGGAGACTGAGTGTGCAAACTTGCATAAAATAAATGCTCTTTGCTTTTACATATGGGTCTCAGTTTCCCAGTTGGCTTTTGGGGGGACTTCATGGATTTAGGTATAACAAGAGAAGGGAACTGAATTTGGTGAGGAGAAGAGGATGATGGAGTTCTTCAGTGCACTTGACTGTTTCCCTGGTTTCTAGGCTGGTGTGTTCACAAGGAATGCCTACTGGTGTTGGGGACTGACAGAATGGGATGAGTCTTGGAAAGGAAGCTTGAGGAAGATGACCTTTGTGATCTGTTACAGATGAGGAGAGAGGAAGAGGAGAAGGCAGCAAGGCTTCTGGTTCAGGGTTGGATATTGATGTAGGAGGGACATCTGTCTATGTGTTACTTTCATTGGTTAATAAAGAGACTGCTTTGGCCTTTGATAGGACAGCAGCTTAGATAGGTGGAGTAGACAGAACAGAATGTTGGGAAGAAGGGAAGTGAGGCAGACGCCATGGAACCAGCCACCAGGTCAGACATGCTAAATCTTTCCAGGTAAGCCATGACCTCGTGGTGGTACACAGACTATTAGATATGGATTAATCAAGATGTGAGAGTTAGCCAATAAGAGGGTAGAACTAATGGGCCAGGCAGTGTTTAAAGAATACACTTTCTGTGTAATTATTTCGGGTAGAGCTAGCCGGGAGCCGGGTGGTGGGACACAGCCCGCCATTCCTTTTACAACAGGAGATGAGACTGGGGCCTGGATCTGGAGGAAGGGAGGTCTGTAGCCTCTGTCAGACTACTCAGTTTCTTGACAGAAACAGCTCCTGAGATAGTAGGGGGTGCCTTCTAAGGCTGGGACCTGGAACAAAAGTCAAGGAGCAGGGCTTGTGTTGTCATAAAAATCACAGCTCTCATTTTAAAAGTAAAGAGATAGTTTATCCTGAAACCATTTTTGGGTCCCAGGAACACAGGAATTTCTAGATTCCCTAAATTCCAGGCTCCAACATGGGAAGAATTTCATGAAGTTTTTCTAGTTGTAGGGAACCAAGCAGGTCCTAAATCCAGGCAAGTTTACAAAACCTTGGTGAGTCCAGCAGACACACTGAGATGGGGGAGGTTTTTCTTTCATCCTAAAATCTTCCCCAGTGATAACCTTAGCTCTCTCTGATGGTGAAATCTCATGATCTCCTGAGTTAATAGCTTCTAAGAGGTTTTTATTTATTTTTACTACATGTTAGTTGAGATACAGAGTGGGGTAAGGAATGACCCCACTTTAGTTCAAAAGACTAAAATTAGCACAAAATAAAGTTATTAGACTCTGATCCTACAAATTTCCAATCTTTCCACAGTACAGAAATTCCAATTGGTCCATCATTTTCTGCAGACTCAGAAGTGTCTTCTTGGAGTTCTTTTCTTCACATCCAGACACAACATTATGGTGGGTAATTTTCCTTTATACTTGTGATTAGATGATTTTTATTGGATTCTCATAGTTTTTTTCTGTAATGCACATATTTAAGGAATATAAGCTTCTTTTAAAATATTGAAGAGTAAGGAATGACCATATGGATGACGCTTCAACTGAGACATATATATTTCTCAGTCACATTAGAAGCTAAAGTGTAGTGAGTAACAGAGAAATCTAGAAAATGAACTTCACTGAGGACTTTTGTCTTAGAAACATATGACAATATAGTAGTGAGGTATACAGAATCAGGTGGTACCTGGAAGGTTGTTAGACTGGGATACATACTTGGGGAAAATCATTAAACAATCCACAGTTTGAATTAATAGTTCAGTGTTGTCCTGGCTTACTATGTCAACTTGACACAAACTAGAATCATCAGAGAGGATAGAAACTTATAAGAGAAAATGTGTCCATAGTGTTTGGTTATAGGAAAGCCTGTGGGGTTTTCCATAATTAGTGATACATATGGGATAGGCTCAGACTATGCTGATTGGGATGGTGGTCTTCTCTTATATAAGAAGGCAGTCTGCGCAAATATTGAGGAACAAGCATGTAAGTAGCATTCCTCTACAGCTTCTTCCTTGGCTCCTTCATCTGATTCTTGCCTTGTTTGAGTTTTTGCCTCCAGTTTTATCCATGCTGTTGCAAAAAAAAAAAAAATCAAACAAACAAACAAAAAAAAAACCAACCAACCAACCAACCAAACAAACAAAAAAACGTGCCAAAGATTAATTGAATGGGAAAGGGATTTATTTAGCATACACTTCAGTTGTCAGTCCATTGAAAAGTTTCTGTACCCTGATAAGCCTCTCTGCCAGTGCAATAATTCAAATCAGACCAAATCAAACCAATTAGAAAAAGCCCAGGTATAATGGATATCAGCACTCTCCCTAGAAAGGAGCAACGGAAGGACTTGTTTGTTCTCTAGATTACAGTTTAAATACCCTTTGGGAGTGGTCTTGAGCTTCTCTGGGGAGGGGTCACAGTTTGTAGGACTTTCTCAGCGGTGAAGCCTGGACTGAAGCAACTCCCAGGGGAAGGAGGGCTTGGGATAGAACTTCCACCCAGGCATTCCAGATTCTAGATGTGTTTACGCCTGGGGCTGAGGTAAAACTTGAACACAAGCGTTCCAGATTTTTTGGCCTTATGGATATCAGGTACTGGGATAAAGCCTTAACCCAAACATCCATTATTAAAGAAATGTCAGAAACAGAGAATAAGCACATCTCTTTCTTGCCTGCTTCCAGTCAAGTACTGTTCTCTTTTACACTGTGGGCACCACCCACAGTAAGCTGCATGAGCCTCTATCAGTGAACCGATTTGACACACCCCCATAGCATACTGAATACCAGGTAATATTCAGTTCCTTTCAAAGTAATCTAGGACTGGTCAAATTGAGAATCAAGGATTATCAGTGTATAAGACAAGAAAGAAGTCAGTCAGACCCTGGATAAAAGAAGGAATGGAAGAGAGAGAGAGAGAGAGAGAGAGAGAGAGAGAGAGAGAGAGAGAGAGAGCTTAGTTCTTACCCTAGGACAGTCTCAGAATTCTTGCCAGGTAGCAGTCTTCTTTATAAATGTAACTGATAAATATCCTTTCATTTTTCTCTATCCTCATTGTGTATCTATCCCATGTTTACCATCAACACTATCTATAGATGCACACAGCATAAAAATGGAGTCATTATTAAGACTAAGAGGTAACTGTAAGCCCCAGTCTCTGGTCTCCATCTTTGGAGGCCCCATCCTGTGTTCAGAGGAGGGTCAAGATGAGCATGCCAAAATCTTGACCACACCCTCAGTCTTCCCTGCTTCCCTGCAAAGTTTCCTCGTGGTCTCTTTCCTCTCTCCTTTGCAGCTTCCAGGTTCTCTCTCACCTGAGAACGCAGAAATACCATTAAACCTGGATATTTCTTAATTTGGCTTGTTGTGGTTTGGCTTGATTGGGATTTTTGCATTGTCAGAGAACTCATGTTAGGAAAAAATCCTAACATATTGGAGGTCCCATCGAGAGAGAGTGGCCTTTCCATGTGGTCCTAGGCCATGTGTCAAAAGCCCCCTAGTCTACAATCTGAGCTCTCCATCCCACACTAAAGCCGGCTCCTGGGCTACAGCGGCTGTGTCTTGGTGAGTCCTTTTTTCTTGACTATGCTATAGGGTTTTCAGGCAACCCATTTGTACTTAACTTATGTTGATTATCAGACTCTTGTTGAAGCCATGAGCTTGCACCAAGAGTTTGATTTTAGCAGCGGCCAGACCAGCAAGATAGGGCTTGGCTGAAATAGGCTTTGTTTGCTCCAGGGATGCCTAGCATTCAATTTCCATGAGCCTATTAGGCCTAAGAGCTATTTTAGTGGATGCACTATAATAGATTTAGGCCACTTGGTTGGTCATAGACTTTAAAACGGGCACTTGCAGTTCAAAGCCAGATCGGCTGTCACCCCTAGTATGCCACTTACAAAATCTTTATGAATTGAGACTGTCCAATACAATCTGTCCCAAATGGCTAATTTCTCTATACACTAAGATTTAGCCTTCACCGTCTTCTGGGACCTTGAAAATTTTGGCCACCGTAAAGACAAATGGACAGAACTTACATATGTCATGGTTTTGGGACTCTGCACTCTCACCCTTCCCTTAGTAGCCAGCGTCTTGCAGCACCAATCTTGGACACTAAGGCTGCAATGCCTCCAAATTCCTGGTCATCTGGGAATTGGGACTCCATCATTTCCAGCTGGACCTTGCAGCCAGAGACACTCGCCCCTCCCCCACTCCTTCAAGCCCTCACTACCCAACCCCCTCCTGTGGAACAACATTCTCCACATTCCTCTCTTTCCCTGTCTCCCACATCCCTTCCCAATCTGGAGGTTCAAGGTAAACTTCCACCTTACCCACCTTCCCCTCTCCCTCCTACCCAAAAAGAATCAGCCTTGTCTTCCCAACAGACAAGGCTGCAACAGGCAGCTACCCTACAGGCCCAGGCTTTAGCCACTGCCCTAAGGTCACAGGAAGGGGGACAAGAGAAGTCAACCACAAGGCTCTACCCTGATAGAGCCCAGCCTAAGTCAACCTCACAGGTAAGCTATTTCAACTGTTGCCTAAATGGTCATGTGTCACTATATTGCAATATGCCTCCTCTGAGGTCCAGCAACCTGGACACTGGAAATCACAATGCCCTTGTGCTGGCTTGTCCTCTATGCCATGCCACAGAGGTCAGGCCTCACCAACATTGACAAGTGAAACTGTGCCAGCCTTCGAACTTCTCAGCCTTGCAGAGGATTGACGCAGCCCAGACTTGGTATATCTCATAACCCTATCTGAGGCTAGGGTAAAAGCTGCAGGTAGTGGCTAAGTCCATTATTTTTATTTTTGGATATGGGAGCTACCTATTCTGTTCTAACATCTCACTCGGGCCTTATGTTCCCTTCACCAATTTCAGTTATGGGGGTAGATAGGACCTGTTCCTCCTCACTTAAACCTTTGCCACTGCACTACATTCTTGCAGGACAATTTTTCTCTCATTCTTTCTTAGTGATTCCTGCTTGCTCAGCACCTTTACTGGGTCGAGAAATTCTTAGCTGCTTCCCCAAAGCTTTGTTCTGTTTCTTGGAACCCCTTTTTTACCCCAACCATCTCCAAGATTCTATTTTACAGGTTCACTCCTCCTGCCAGACATGTGCCCAGACCAACCAACAGGGGACTCTCTACATACGTCAGTCTCTACACCAGCTTTGCGGACACCAACCGGGCAAGATTGACAGGTTGATTTCACTCATATGCCTTCTCATAAAATATTCTGTTATCTCTTAATACTTGTGGACACTTTTACAGGATAAATAGAAGTGATTCTGATCTCCAGGAAAACAGCAAATGTGGTGGCTCAGGTACTCCTGGACCACATCATTCCTCGGTTTGGTGTTCCACAAACCATCCAGATGGACAATGAACTCACCAAACAACAACTAACCAAGATCTCCATTGAACTCAGGTTATCTTTGCTCTCCTTCTCCCCATTGCCCTTATTCGCCTCAGGGTCACCCCACCTTCCCCTATGAGCCTGAGCCCTTTTGAGCTCCTTTATGGCAAGCCCTTTCTCCTTAACCATCACCTCCCCATCCAAACTCCTCCACTGGCAGGGTACCTACCCTTCCTCTCCCTTTTAAGGTCTCTTCTCCATTCACATGCTGACAGTTGTCTCTGCCACCACACCAGTGGACCCTAATGCTCCTACCTCCTGGGGAAAGAGTACTCCTCAAACAGTCAACTCTTAGGTCTCTCAAACCTCGATGGACAAACCTCGATCTCATACGGTAATCCTCACCACACCCTCAGCTGCCAAACTCCTGGGACATTCGTGTTTTTACCATCTCTCCAGGCTCAAGTGGGCACCTACTTAGGACACTTGGTCTGTCTAGCAGACAGGACATTCCTCCCTCTGGTTTTCCAGGATGCCACAATGAAGGACCTACCGGCTCCTCATCCTGGCACACTCATCTTTGGTGATGACAAATTTTTTTCCTAGATACCTGCCTTCTCACCTCCCCCAAGGAACAGATGCCTGACGTCTCCGGGATGAGTACACAGGATGCCTTTTCACCTACACCTCTTGCTGAGCATGGACCCAACAACACCTAGCTCTCCCCTTCTCCATGTTGCTCTATGCCTGCAGGAAGTAGCCAGACTTGAGTCAACTCCCCTTTTTCCTAAGAAAGCCTAAATGTTCGTCAAAATATCACTTCAGCTTCCTTATACAAACAGTCTGGTATGTAAGCCCCAGTCTCTGTCCTCCAGTTTTGGAGGCCCAGTCTCTGTGCCCACCAAGTCCTGACTCCTCCCTGAAGGAGGGTCAAGACAAGCCCACAAAAATCTTGACCTCGCCCTCAGTCTATTTAAATTGTTTCCTTGGAAAGTTTCCTCATGGTCCTTTTCTTCTCTCCCTGGTGGTCACGTTTGCTGTCTCCTGGTTCCCCCTCGGGTCCACTTGAGAGCACAAGAATCCCATTAAACCCAAATATTTCTTAATTTGGCTTGTTGTGATTTGGCTTGGTTGTGACTTTTGTGTTGACAGAGAGCTTGTGTTAGAAAAATTTCCTAACAGTAACGACTCTTTTCTGTCCCATGTGTATTCAGATAAATAAAATTAGAAATGATGGTAACTCATTTTCTTTGAGGGTAGCAATCTCTATCATTCATTCCATTTTCTGTGTCAGACTATGAACATTTAAGAATTAAGATTGCAAAATGACAGAAGGATGCTGCTAAAACACATCATTCTGGGCTTTCTTGGCTTCCTTTGGTTTCAAGAGTATCTGTGCACATTTTTTCCCTGTTGTATTCGATTTTCTAAAATTTAACTCATCTAAATAACTGCAGAATCCAACAATGCCTTATAAAACCTTCAATGTCTTTCCAAACAATGTATTCACTATATCAGTTCCTTTTACAAAAGGGAAAACTCAGCAGCCTTGGCTTTTCTCTCCTTTTATCCAGCACACATGACACTATAAACAAGTTCCAGGGTTCTTTATACTAAGGTGTGTACACCGACTGAGAAATAATGAGTGTTCATGTGTATATATCCTTTCATGACCCAATTAAACTTTCTCTTCTGGAGTAAGTGAACCAAAAAAATGACTCTTTCTGAGAAACTCAAATAATTCAGGGTAGCAGAGGAAGGGATCTGATGAGAAAAAGAAAGGAAAGACAAGGTGATTGTTTTGTATGAAACTGTAGAATAACGAATTATTTCTATAGAAATATGACCCATGTGCTGGAAAGTTTTTACTGTTAACAAAACTTAGATTCATCTGGAAAAGTCTTATTGAAGAATATTCACCACTATTAGATAGGGCATTTCTGTCGGGGGGGATTTTTTGATTTTTAATGAAGGAAGGAAGATTTAGTTCAGTGTTGGTAGCATCAGCCATGAGCTAGAGGTTTCTGAATGGCCGAAGAGAAGAGAAAACTAGCCAAGGTGAACAAGCTATCATTCATATATATGTCATTTCTCCTTGATCTTGGCTTATAGATGTGATCTGACCAGCTCTCTTGTGGTCCTGATGCTGTGACTTTCCGACAATGCTGGACTGTAATCTGTAAATGTATGTGTTTTTTGCTTTCTTCTCTTAGTTGTGGATGTGATGTGACCAACTTTTTCACACTCCCAGTGCTGTGACTTCTCTCCTATGCTGTACTGTAATCAGAAATGTGTCTTTCTTCTCAATATTGCTTTTTGTCATTGACCCAGAAAAAAAAAAGCTAAGACAATTTATAAAAGGAAATGAGGGTAAGTAATAATATTTGTTCAAGTTTAGAATCCAACAAAATGTACATTCCCAGTTACCTGGAATATATACTTCCACTGAGAGGGTCCTTAGCAGAAGAACTAGCTTTTATTTATATTTATACTGGAGAGTATAAGATCTGAGTGCCAGAGTGGAACAGTGACATGGCCAAGATGTCACAGAACACAAATTCCCACAAGAACCCTACAAGGAATGGAACCAAGTATATAACATCCATTGTGTCCCTGTAGCTGAGCCTGCTATGGCAGGGTTAGCTCCAATTCCTATACTATTCTCATTAGTACCATAGTCAGCTGAAGTGTTTGTTGCTGGAGAAGTTTGTAGCTTTCACAGGCCCTAAGACCATCTAGGGAACATCTCAGAAATCTATAACATAGACACAGTGCTGCATTGTACAAATATTCACTGATGTATCCTATGAAACATTCATCGTGCTTACACAAACTCCTGGTGGTGAATACTGTTTGGGAATTCCATCAATTTAGGGTCTTATGAAAGAGTCAGGTATTCTCCTCCAAAGCATGGTCAACCTTGTTCAGTAAGTTATCAGAATGAACCTGCTCAGACTTGCACAGTCACAGGAAACTGCTGAGAAACTTGATTTATATCTTCAGCCAACCAAGTTTAGTGCCTATTCTGTAATTACCTCAGTAAGCAACAGGGCAACTCTTCCCAGAAAGTGGCTGAGCAAGACTCCTGGGATATAGCCAGGTAGTGCTTCACACCCTTGCTGTACCTAAAATAAACCCAGTAACATCATTCATTCACACTGATGAGTCATTAAAACATCTAGGTTTCTCATCCAAAGAACATCTGCTTGTTTAGACCTCAGGAAGCAGCTGGATTGAGTACAGGGAATCTTGACATTCTTCAGTCCCATGAGGATATTATTAGCTTTAAACTTGCGAACCTCTTGAGTGCATTGATGCTAGCTGGCCTTTGTGAGAATCTCATCAAGTAAAGAAATGACCAACTTCTGCTACCAGACCTGACACAGAGAAGCTGCTGAACTAAGTTTATTTATGAAAATAGATATCTACTATTGAACACTTGGCAACCAGTAATTGTCCTTTGTGGAGGCCCAAATTTGTGAGTCTATTCCACATTGTCTGAAAGTCAGAGAGTTTCAGTTTGCTCAAAGTTGTCAACTACAACTGTGGCTACACAACCTGACATAGGGTGTGATTATTTGGTGTTTTGGAATTTAAGATGGCCCATAAAGGTACATACTCTTCACCCTGACCAAAGGCCAGAGAATTCAAGCATACTTTTGCTCCTGCTTTTAAATTAGGGGCTTGACCTAGGGAGTATTTTGCTCTCAGGATACTTCATCTAGGGTGGGTTCATTGCTTAAACAACACTGCTGTTCTCATGAATTAATGGTTTGGTGACTCAAAGTACTGAAAAAGAACTGTTCAAGCTGTCATTTGTATCATGGTAAACAGTCTTTTGTCTTGTCCCCCTGTTGTATTAGGTTATGAAAGTCTATGGAAAATCAAAAATGGGGCAAACTCAGAATTCAGGACTCAGAAGTCAAAAGAACTCAGCATTTAGGATCATCGGCTGAGTTGCCCTATAGATACTATCGTAGCCTTTGTGGTTCTTTCGGATCTCTGCTCCTTCTACCTAACACTTCTAATTGTCACAACCAAACCCTGGAATGTATGAACTCATTGCAGCAAGGACCTCAGCAAAGGTCACCCCCAGAAGACAGCCACAACAGTGTTTATTACATTTATATAATCCTTCAAACATCTGTAAGATAGCAAAATATGAAAGAATCACCTTCATAAGAGAAATGCTACATGTTTTCACTGGATGCAGCAGTGGTCACTTGCACTCATTTTTAAGGGTGAGAGAGGATTCAACTCCAAAGAGACTGGACTGGTAGTCTTGACACAAAAGGAAATAACATAAGTCTCATATAAAACAAAAAATGTGAAGTGAATTCACACTCTAAGTCTGAGAGAAGTCATTAGTAATGTTGCATATTTTTGTTTTTTCTGACCTTTAGTGCCTTATCAAACAGGAAGACATTGCAGCCAAGGCCTCTTCTGAGTTCTATGGAACAATCATCAAAGTACTGAGGTCTGCTCTGCTCAGTACCTGAAGAAATAGAAGTATGGTAGAAGTGGGAGTCTCTGTGAAAAAACTGCAACAATATGTTTCAGGAGAACTCTAACAAATACTCTTAATTGCTCATAATGTAGAAAGGTAGTTTCTGCAGGCTTCACAATATTTTAGAAATTCTCTGTAACTACTGATTTCTATCCTTTTCTCTTCTTTTTCTCTTTCTTTTTCCTTTTGTTTTGTTTTGTTTTCCTTTCTTTTCTTTCCTTTCTGTCTCCTAAAGGTGCTGCTTTTCTGGAACTTGTGGTGTGAATATGACTTGTCTTACACTCACAGATATCCACCAATGTCAGCCTAATGATTGCTGGAATTAAAGGCTTGCAACACCCATACTCAGCAACCCTAAGACTTTTATTTTATCAGACTAAGTATCATTTACCTCTTATTATCACATGATCTTCCAGCTCTTCTCTTATATGGTTTATTTGCACATGATGATCAATGAGATTTAACCATTAAATATATAGGCAACTTCTTCCTTGGGACTGAAACACAGAAAGTCCAGACAAGCAAAGTGATCTGTTTTTATAAGTGACATAATTGAGTGCCTATAAGGAAGTGTGTTCATATAGTCTAGTAAGTTCTTTACTCATTCATATATATTCATAAAGCATATTGTCTATGATGCTCACTATTCATTGGATACTTAAATGATGGTTGCATCATTGGCATATTTTTCTTTGGCATATTTTTCTTTCTATGCAACTCTTTTTCACTCTTCTACTACCCTCTCATCACCAGCCAGGTCTTTGAAAACAGGTATAACATGCTACTAGTCAATCACAGGATCACCTGTGCATTTCCAAGTTGTTCAGTCACCTGACAGCAAGATAGATGCTATAATAATCCAAGGTCCCAGAAATCACTGGAAACACTCTGACTTTCACCAAGCTGCCAGTGCTATTATATATCTGGAAAAAAAAACACTCATAACAACAGGAAACTGGCAAATTTGCTGTGACCACTGCACTAAAACAAGACAACAACCACATGAGAAGAGTCCAGGAAGGATGATGACCTTTGGCTTGTCCCTAAAGCTACAGAAAATTCCAAATACCATTCTTCTAAAATAGCACTCCAGAAAGTTTGACATTCACTGATCTCTGGTGGTTACTTTGTTCACACCGCACTGGAATTAACGGGAGCTTACTAAAGCGGAGGACTCTTAGGCTTCATCTGTCCCTGTTCCATGTGATTGACACTGTAATTAGATGACTATAGAGTTTGTTTGTGTACTCCACATTAAAAAGACTGCTCTAAATGTTTCTTTTCACTAATACCATCTAAAATGTGATCAGGCATTATGATAACTATTGCCAATTTGACAGAATCCTGAATCAACTCAAAGACGCCCTCTGAGCTTAATATGAGGGATTGTCTTGATTACATTAGTGGACAGGCAAAGATCTATTTAATTGGGTAATTAATTTATTGTGTAATTTAATTATTTAATTGTATAATTTAATATTAAATTGTGTAATTTAACTGTGTAATTAATTAATTGTATAATTATTGTGTATTTAGTTGTGTAATTCACTTCCTGAATAAAGCAAGTGTAGAAAGAAACTGAGTGCCAGCATGCATGCA